TCTTTTTCAACCTTTTCAAAAACCTGCATTTCTGAATACTCAGTGGGCATCTTCTTACTTATTGACCATTCATGTTCCTTCCTCTGTGAAATGCCAGTTTATCTTTTGCTCATTTATTTATGGAGCTGTTTTTCCTTGCTGAAAATAGTCATTTAAAAAATATTCTGACTACAGACTCTTTGTAACTATCTGTAATGCAAACATCTTCTCCAGATGTGGGGCTGCTCTTATCTCTTTCTGATGCTCCCTCTGATTAAGAGGTTTTTAATTTTAATATCACTGAATTTATTATTTCATACATTTGCATTTATATATTTTTAAATAACTTCCCTTACTCTAAGATAAAAACAAAAAAGTTCTACATTTTCTTCTAACTTTTTAAAGTTCTGCTTTTCACATTAAGATACTAATCCACTTTGAACTATTTATATGTTGACGTGAGGTAGGATTCAATGTAATTTTTTCCATATAAGTAACTAAATGACCACAAATTGAACAATCCACATTTACCTCAAATGTACTTCAACTCTACCTCTGAAACACATCAAGTTTCTCCACATACACAGGTGGTCTGTTTCTGGGCTTTCAACTCGATGCTATTTATTGGTCTAGTTGTCCATCTCAGTGGTTCTCAACCAGAATCAGATTTTGCACTAATCATTTGGCCACAATCGCGCCACACCCACCACCAAAGAATTATCCCTCCAAAATGTCAATGGTATCTGCTCAGACTCCCTAGGCTAACCCAATGCAGTCAATAATTACAATTGCTTCACTTTGTTTTTACAGTCACAGGTTTTCTGAGTTCCTTCTACAGCACCAAAATAAGTCACTTTTTGCAACAACTTCACTGCATGGCTGTAACTAGTACACATATGAATAGATTCTCTTTCAACAGAGATTTAGATTAACAATTTTTGTTTTCTTATTACCAACAATGCTGCAACAAATATTCTTGCCCACATTTTCTCTAAAACTGTATCTTCAGGCCAAATATTCACAACTAGAATCGTGAGTCAAAAGGTATAATGAATTTTAATTTCAGTTAACAGTGCCAAGTGGCTTTACATAGAAATAACAGTTTACCAAAACTGTTTAACATCATCTATTTTCCCATATCTTTGCCAAACTAGTTTTTATTCAAACTTTGAATTCTTTACCAACCTTGTAAGTAAAATTTTAACTGCATTTCTTTAATTATAAATGAGGCTGAGTAATTTTTGTTTTGCTTATTGACCTTGTGCATTTCATTTACTCTGATATGCTTATCTGGGGCCTATTTTCCTCCGGGAGTAAATATTTTTCTTATTGGCAGAGTAAAACTCTTACTAGTACTTCAACTAAATATGACACAAATATTTCACCCTTAGTGTGTCATTAAAAAAAAAAACTTTGTGAAAAAGAATTTTGTCATCAAGAAGTATTTCATTTTTATGTACTCAAATTTATCAAAACTTCCCTTGTAATTTCTGGATTTTCTCTTATGTTTAGAAAGGCCTTTTCAAGCCAATGAATTGTCATTATATGAGTAATACTATTAAAACAAACTCCTCTGCTTACATTTTCTGCCTTGGAATTAGATTTGCTAATTCAGCATTACGCTGCACTGGGTTACATTTCATTTAGCATTTAACACCTCCTAAGAATAGCTTAATATTCTTAAAAATTAAATATATTATGATATGATCTAATTTGGATCTCCAAAATGAGATGCTTTGTATTCTGACCTGCAGAAGCCTCATATTAGTTTGATACCAAATAAAAATATAGTAGTAACAGTTTCTTGTAGGAGAATAAATTCTTTAGACACTATAAATAAAACTGGATGCAGAACAGATTTCCATCTTGACAATTCCACCTTAAAGAAAAAAGTTAGACTGACAAATTTTGAGATTTATATTCAGTAGTACAGAGAGGTCTACAATTATTAAAAAACTAACCAGGGAGAACAATTGATTTCAATCATCTTTGGGTATCTTTTACACACAAACCTGTCACTTTGAATAACAAACAAGATCCTTCATTGTTTTGCTGTTCAGTTGCTAAGTCGAAACTAACTCTCTGCAACCCACCATGCTCTCCTGTCCTTCAATGAATGGTCCTCAAATATTTAGGACATTTATTTTTATTCAGGGTGAAATTTTTTACCACCAAAACCAGTTTTTAATAATTTTATTATTCTTACAAATATGATAAATTAGTATAATTACATTGTCATAATGTGAGGAGCTTCCTTTGGGGTTCAGAGAGTAAAGAATCTGCCTACAATGCAGGAGACCTGGATTCAATCCCTGGGTCAGGAAGATCCCCTGGAGAAGGAATGGCAACCCACTCCAGTATTCTTGCCTGGAGAATCCCATGGACAGAGGAGTCTGGCAGGCTACAGTCAATGGAGTTGCAAAGAGCTGGACATGACTGAGTGACTAATACACACAATGTGAGGAGCAGCCAAGAGATAGACTTGGAAAATATTTTGTATCTTTCATAAAGTCTGACCTAGAGAACATTCTGAGATCAAAATTTTCAAATAAACAGCACCAACATTTTGCTGATGACTTCCAAAAACCAAATTATCTGTAACACAGTAGTATGGTCTTAACTGAAGTATAAAAATTTTGTTTAAAAGCTATTAATACCATGTTTACCAGTAGCTAACAATTAAATGTTCCTTACTAGATTCCAGATACTGTTATAAGAGCATATAGCCTTACTTATTGCCCTTAACACTCTATAAGAGAGATACAATATTATGGTTCATCTTCAAAAAGGTAAAGAAAAGAGGCATGCAGGTAAGTAACTTGACAGAAGTCACATTCTTATTTAACCTGTCAAATACTAACTTCCATCATTTGCTACAAAAATAAGAAGTATGGATATAGTACAAAGAAAATACCAGTTCAATGTTCTTGAACTACAAAAGAGTTAATCAAAGAAAATACTCGTTTAAAGCTCCCTAGCCTGACGCTCAACCATGAGCACCCTGCATTGAAGCACCTGGTGTACAGGCCAGAACATTCAAGGCACTGGCTACGCTGCTGCCAGAATGACTTTGTGAATCCTCTCTAACCCAGTTTTGGGGTTTTTTGGGGTTTGTTTTGGCTCCTTCTCCTTGGCCTCCTGCCTCCTCTCAAAGCAGACTAGGGAAAGCCCCTCCTACCACCCTCAAATCCGTTACACTTGTTATTTATTGCCCAAAACAGAACTGGGTAATTTCGAATTTCAGGAAGTTTTCTAGGAGTCTGTTAGCTTCTACTCTCTAGCAAACTTTCTCTTCTCCTATGGGGTTCAGGAATAGAAATGATCAATGTTCTCCATTTCTCAGTCTCCCCACCCCAGGAATCAGCACAAGTACTGACTACAGGCATGTATGTTATCATGTCATCAATTAAGGTGTAGAGGTGTGTGTGTGTGGTGGGGGGGGGGGGGGTTGGCAGTCATGAGTTCAGCTGGGACCACCTTTCTACTTACATAATGAAACAAGCAACTGCCTTATTATAATGAGGAACTTCTAAATGACAGGAATAAAATGCTTTCCCAACAGGTCCCTGTTCTTATTCATTTCACTGTAACATTATTTAATTAACTTCATTTTTATCCCCCTCAAATATCAGGATTAAACAAAATATGTTAAGTACAAAACATTAAGGTTGCTAATTCTCTTTTTATATTGTGGTAGAAAACAGTAGTTTCAGGTGAATAATATAATGATTCACTATTTCAATATACTGGAAATCACACAGCTCCATTTTTGCTACAAATGATGAGGGCATCACATTTTTGCAGCAGTAAGTGGGATTATGTTACTGACAAGTCTTGTGCTAAGGAACATCACATTCACATTTGTTAGTTTTAAGGCCTAGCGTTATGATCATTACTATACCATTCTGTATCTGGATTACAGCTGTACTGAGGAAGAAAATGAGGCACCCCTGATGTCTTAAGACAACGTTAAGACTAGGATCTTGCTGTGTATCAACCTCTAGAACTTTCAGTTTCCTCACCTGTAAAATGAAACTATTCGTAACACCACCCAACTTCCTTTGAGGGATTTTTGAAAGTCAGGTTAGATAATACCAGTGAAAATGCACTGCAAAAGTAAAGTATCAAAAAATGTCAAGGATTGTTATTTATCGCTGAAAACTATTATTTTTTAAAAGAATAAAGTAGCAACAGATGGCTTCTAACTCAGACAGGCTTAGAAAGGATCTCACCATCCGCTCGCCCTCAGCAACACTTCAAAAGAACTACCTCACTAAAACCTGACACCCTGATAACTTCATCAACAAAATCTGCCACGTTTCAATTCCTTAAAAACTTAAACAGAAATGCTTTTCACTCCGGCAATGCAAGAGAAAACGGGGAATGAAGTACAACATGCTTTTCACACTCCACTGTTATATAACGAAGATACTGATTTTCATAAATCTCATCAGTTTCTAGCCACCTTTTTATAACTGTTCTCAATAACTTCTCCTCTAAAATTTTAGGACTCATTACCAAGTATCACCTTCTTCATGAAGGTCTTTGGCAAGTCTCAAGACTTGACATTCTCTTTCGTGTGGGTGTCATTCAGACAACAACACACGAATACTGCGCATTTTGGAAAGGGGGAAACTGAGGCCCAGGCCTTGGCACGACGAGCCCAAGGTCACACACGGCGAGATGGCAAAACGTAAGCAGAGGTGCTGTTTTTCCAAGGCTGTCCATAGGACGCGGTGAGAGAGGACTCACTCCCCAAGAGAGCAGCAGGCACAGGGCCACATGCTCGCACATCGCTGTTTCCTCCCCACCCTCACTCAAGAGGCAAAAACCAACAGGAGGCTGACTCGCCGGGAGGACCACTCTGCTGTCAACCCCGACACAAGTGTCATCTCCTCCCGCCCGGCCCACAAAGACGCCGCCCCCCACCCCCCGATCACCTGCGCACAGCCGCCCTCCCCCTCCTGCACTTATCGACCCGCTGAGCAGTCCCCGAACGCATCCTACCCCGTTCCCCTCACCAAGGAGCCGGAGGAAGATCTGGAGTCCAATGCAGAACCGGCTTTGGCTGGGATCGTGGTAGGAGTTGAAAATGGCGTCGATGATGTAAAGGCAGGGCACCCGGAGCGCCACTTCGAGCGCCGCCCAGACCTGCTGATGGGCCATCCGCACCTGCTGCTGCGGGGGCCCCACCGCCGCCATGAGCCGCTGCCACACCGGGGCTGGGCGGGCCGGGCAAGGCCGCACGGGGCAGGGCCCGGGACGGCGGCCGGGGGCGGAGGCGAAGGCAGGCGACTCCGCCCCCGCCCTCCCTCCCTCCTTTCGTGTCTCTCTCACGGCCCGCCCCGCCGCCCGCTCGCGTCTCTCGAGCTGGAGCAGGCGGCGGAGGCGGCGGCTGAGGCAGCGGCGGCGGCTCCCGGGAGGCCTCCGGGTGTCGGTGTTTCCGGCCGGCTACGGTCTGGCTCCTCCTCCCTCCACCGCCTCCCCCGCCCGCGGAGCCACCATCTTGACCTCGCCCGCCCGCCTCTGCCGTTGCTGCTGTTGCCAGACCGGGAGGCCGCGCCCGCGGTCACGCGAGACCGCGGAGCCCGCGCGCCGACGCTCGCGTCATAATCCGGCGCTAGGGGCGCTCCCCGTGCAGTCATCACGCTCGGCGTAGCAGACGTCCCTCTCGTTGCCATGGTTTCTGCGCCTTCGCGGCTTTTGGCGCCACCTAGTGGCGCAACCTCCGGGTAGCCGCCTCACTCCTAGAAGCGTCGGGGCAGTGTGGATTTCCCTGCTTCCGTGGGCGGGAATTATTTGTTACTTTAATAGAGCCCATTAAACGTCCCATAAACATGATTCAGAGCTGCTGGGAGTTGGAAAGCCAAAAGGCGCCGCCCGCCAGAGCCACTCAACTCCACGGACAGGCCGGGTCTGAGTGGCCGACCTTCCGGCGAAAATGCTACGAGGCCGCCTGGGGTTCTGTTGCAGGCGTCGCTGCTCGCGGGTTATGGAGCAGACGCTGTGGTTTGGGCTGGGTGTGGTAAGCGATACCGAGAAAAACATACCTTTGCACATTATCCTTCCTGTCTCCTACCCGATTGGGCGGAACTGCGGACACTAATTGGCCACATTAGTATTCTGTAAAGGGCAAGACCTCTGGCCTTGGTATTTAGGTCACATCTTTGAGGTATGAACACCCAGGCAATCCCTTCTCAAGGCGGAAGAGACCGTACTTTTTAATGTTTCTGTGGGGGATTAGAACATAAGACCAAAATAAGACACTTTGACATGATTATTTTAAGCTGAAGATAGTTGAGACACAGCAGGAACAAACAAAAAGCTCTCCACCTCGGCAGTCACCCCTTCTATTTCCCTAAATGATCTTAATTTCGTGAAAGTCGCTCACTTGTGTCCGATTCTTTGCCTAGAATTTTCCAGGCCGGAGTACTGGAATGCATTCCTTTTTCCAGGGGATCTTCCCAACCCAGGGGTTGAACCCAGGTCTCCCACATTGCAGGCAGATTCTTTACCAGCTGAGCCACAAGGGAAGCCCCAAGAATAAGGGAGTGGGTAGCCCATTCCTTCTCCAAGGGGATCTTCCCGATCCAGGAATCAAACCGGAGTCTCCTGCATTGCAGGCGAATTCTTTACCATCTGAGCTATCAGGGAAGTCCTCCATTTGCCTAAAAATCAGACGTAAATTTCTACTGGTAAAGTTGTGTCCCGCCCCCTTACCAAGAGGACAGCTCAGACTCAAAACACCCTCAAACCTTATTAAACTAATCCTTATCTTCCATTAGTTTTCCCCATATGTTTACCTTCCCAGAGTTTGCCATCCTTGAAAGCCTAAACCCCTTTTCCTTTTATCCATTTCTCTACAATACATAGTTCTTTGTTAAGATGGTGTATAAGCCCAAAACTGTAGCCACCTCGTTAAGTTACTCAACACTTAGCTTCTCCCAGGCGTCTGTGCACCGCGTGAGTCAATAAACTCTTCTTTTTCTCTTGTTAATTTTAATTTTTATTTTATCAGTTTAATTTCCAGGACCCCAGCCACAGAACCTAGGAAAAGGTGTTTGTCTCTCCCGTACACTTTCTTATCCATGTTTTAACAGTTTCTGATTTAAATCTGATGCACAGATTTTTATTAGTGTAAGAATTTCTAATTAAAACTAAATACCACCTTGGGACCAGAACTTTCAGGGTGGTGGCACAGTTGTTCTTTCAGATACGACTTCAAGCAAGTCTCTTTAAACTCACTAGATCTCACTTTCCCCATCTGTAAAAATGAAGGTTTGAATAAGATCCTGGCAAGGACTTTGAAATACTGCCTTAAAATTAACTTATATGAGTGAAGTAGTTTTTAGAAAAATTTTAGGAATTTTGAAGATAAAAGATAAGCTTTCAAAGAATAGCTGCAATTCACTGAATCTAATCTCTCTAGCTTCTGCATTGGTTTGAATGTTGCACAGCTCATGTATATAGTAAACTGAGTCTACCCAGAACAATAATGTGTATTAATAAATTACCCATGTTCAAAAATAAAATTGTTTCATTTGACATTAGTGGTTCAAAAGCCTTTCAGTAGGTCTAAAGAGCCCTTAGATGTAGAATGTGTAAAATTTAATTTAAATTTTCAGTTTATATTTTCATCAGCCAAGTCTTTGTTACATGCAACAGGAACTGATTCTGGGCTATCTGAAGCAAAAGATTTTATTAGAGAATTGTTTTAATTATTTCCTCAAGATTTCAAGCTCCAAGAGTAACCATGCAATTGGTCAAGCTTATTGGATTATATATCTGTACCCAGGGCTTCCCAGGTAGCACAGGGGTAAAGAATCTGCCTACCAATGCAGGAGACGCAAAAAATGCAGGTTCAATCCCTGAGTGGAGAAGATCCCCTGGAGAAGGAAATTGCAATCCACTGCAATATTCTTGCCTGGAAAATCCCATGGACAGAGGAGCCTGGGGGACTGGAATTGCAAAAGAGTCAGACCCCCCTGAGCACACACACAGGCATCTGTACGGAAGCTGCACCAGAGGGTAGACACAAGCAGCTCCCTTAGCGGAAGAAAACCATAGGAAACCAGCACATAGGATTCCCCCCCCCCACCCCCCATGTATTATGTATTTTTTCCTCTGAATGAAAGATGGGGGTGCTGGTAGGAAGGGTAGGGATTGACCCCCCCCAAAGGATAAGTACATACCGTAACTTTATCTCAGACCTTGGGAATTAATTAAGAAATAATCGCTGATCCTAAATTACTTTATAGTTTTTCTCATTAAATTTCAGACACACTCATCAAGACCAGTGAATCCCATGGCCATGTGCCCACTGAAACACCACCTGCTGTAAAGCGGGTCCCTAGGTCAAAGGCAGTATTATGCAGGACACATTGATGGATCAAACACTGGAAATCATTCGCTAAGTAGTCTGACCAACACCCTGTGGACAGGAAAGGCAAACCCATACCTGGAGATGGGAAGATTTAGTCAGGGTCAATCACTGTCCTTCCAGGATAGGCGTCCAGTGTAATCAACTTGCTATCAAGCAGATGATGTACGAGGCGCTCAGGGCTGAACATGAGGGAGTGGCCAGCTAGTGAGTGGAGACCATGTTGTTGGCCTCTCAATAACCTGCATTTCTGGACATGACTATGTACGTGAGCCGATTATGCCAGTACTGGGTTAGCTGGTGACGCAGCTGCTGGTTAACTGGCCACACCTGTTTACTTGGTTGTTGAGTGCCTCTACTGTGGTGGACTGTCCCCAGTAGGCATTGTTATACAACCCAAAGCTCTTTACTTACATGCCCAAGCCCATAGATGTCTCCGCTGCTTCTTCTCCAGGCTTCCTAGTCCCAGATCTTTTTCATTCCAGGCCCCTAATCCCCTAGCCATCTTATTTGCCACTTGCCAAGAAGCTCTGTTCTTACTTCAAGCCACTTCCCTTTCCACACAAAATGGATGATCAGGAATACTTGCCCCAGGTTCCCCTGCCACTTAACAGCACTGAGTAGGACTGTAGGGCAGCAAAAGCCTGTTTTCGTTTTGAACCCATATCCCAACAAACCAATCTGTGAAGTTAGCTTGGGCTTTTTTGGCCTCCGTCAGCTAGACAAAGAGCCTCTCAAGCAGCCTCAGCTGTGAGTCGTGGGAGGGACCGTGGTGCGAAACTTATAAGTACGACATGGGAGCCTGGGCTGCCTGCCTGTGCACCTAATTTCCCCTGGCCGTACTTGTCATCAATCCCAGGAATACCACTTCCACCTTATGATGGATTGACTTGGTGGGTCTGACAAAACTTAGGGCAACTTGGGCTATCGGGTCGCTTGATGCCCCACCAGATGCTCAGTTCCTACCAAGGCCCATCAGCAGGCAAGGAGCCATTTGTGAATGACATGTTCTCCACTGCAGATTCCTTGGCCTTGCTACAGAAACTAGAAGTCTACCTTGGGATTCTCCAATTGGAGTCTGCCATAAACTCCTATGACTGCTTTGCTTACCAGGCACTCCTGTCCTGTAGAAAATCTGCCGTATCAAATGGCTCATGCGTGAAAGCTGATGACACTGCAGCCTGTGCCTGCTACAGAGCCTTTCTGTGCTCTGCATCCCCCCGAAAACTGGCAGCCTTTCAGTCACCCAGTGTATGAATCCAAGCAGTATTCCCAGTTCTGAATTCCCACAAAGAAGACTGGAGCTGGATGTGCTTCCTTGGTGGCAGAGTAATACTGATAAAATGAGTGCAATGCAAAAATTCATTCTTTATTGTGGAGACATCTTGACATTCAGGCAGACCACCGGACCTTAAAAATTTCACCAATGTAAAAAGGATGCTGGTTCCTACTAGTGATTATTTCTTATCCTTGGGACTACAATATGCTACCTACATATCTGGCCCAAGTAGTAATGATGTCACGAATGTAATAGTGACATTCTGTGGAAGGTTCAGATGGTCCAGGTCTCTCCAGACTATATCATGACAGAGGGTGGGTGGGTACTGCTCTCTGTCCTGTGTGAACACAGTTGCTTCTGACCCCACAGGCCCAGTTCCAGACTCATGGCTCCTGTTGGTACATGTAGGTTAGGTCCTGAATCTCCTTTGGTACATAGGCCCACTTGAGCATGTTGAAAGTAGACAAAGTGAAGGGAAATGAGCTTCAGAACTGTGTTTTTTTTTAAAAATAAGAGTATGCATAGCTTTGATTTTAAAATAAAACTCAATTACTCAGTCTATCCATCTACATCTACCTGCCTAAACATGTTATACCAAAATTCAGTTTTAGCTTCAATATTTTCTGCTTGCTTTTGATTCAACCTTGACCTCTTAAATACCCAGAGGCAGATACCTGTTTTCTCACTGTTTCTGGCCTCTCTGAAATCGTGTGTGATCGTTGGTCAAGAAATCTTGCAAGTTATCATATCTAATCAGAAAGATGTCACTGCTAAAACATAATTGTAGCAAGAAATTCTTATGTGCTTTACATATTGAAACATGTCAACTGAAGTGCGTTATGTATATTTATTATTGCTAGAGTGAATTTCTGCAATGATTGTGAAAGCTGTACATTTATGTATAACACAATTATTGTAAACTTCTAAATAGTTCAAAAAAAACTAGTCAAAATTTATGAAACAGTGCAAGCCACTGGACATAGGCAATGAAGGGGGCAATGTCCACGAGAGCTGGAAAACAAAGTGAGCCACATAGTTGCTTCAGTCCACTGCCTGGAGAAGTGTTCTAGGCTGTGGCACAAGAAGCAAGGGAGGCCAGCAGACCCCCTGTGGTGAGGAGATGGGACTCAGAGTCCTGGGAGCCCAAGTAACTATAGAGTTCACAAGGTAGAATGCCAGGAAGCAGAGAGGCACACACAGAGAGAACTCCAGAGATCTGCTGACCAGGCCCTAAAAGCATTCAGCTGAGTAATGACCAGCCCACGTGATAGGAAACTACCAAAGGCCAACAGAAGAACCATCCAAAAGAATTACAGGAGACAATACTCAGAGCTCACACACACAGGGTGCTGGGTAATTCCTGTTCCTACCGGTAAGAGTGGCAAATGTCCTAATTCACAAAGTATCAGTCAAAGAATGAAGAAAGGTCTTGCTTCATGATGGAAAAAAATTCATCCCAGACTAAATGCTGCTCTGACAAATGCTCAAAAACAAGATTCAAAAAGATCAAACTGTTCAAGTAACTTAACTGTATTCCAGAACAAAACTCAAAAATGTTCTTAGAAATATGAAAATAGTTTTAATCATTTAAAATAATAGTTCAGCTTGAAAATGACTATTTTAATGGCTTGTCCAGTGTGAAGTGGCTGCACCCTGAGGCTGTTCAGAATGACATATATTGAGTTTCTTCTCCTATGTGCGTTCAGGGTGGGAAAAACTGAAATTAAAAACGCTTTTTCTAAGAGAAAAATGATCTCATAAGCCCTGTATTTCCATTCCAGTTAAATCCTGATTCATGTAGTTCATTAATGTATATCAAATGTATTATGCAAAATGGAATAATTATTAAAACTAATGCCATCCATTATACTTAAAAAAAATCACTAAAGATGTGGTTTAAATTGAAAAAAAAAACCAACACTTTTCTACATACTAGTTTCTCATCATTTTAAATTTGCATATTTAAAATTATACATGATACTGGTATATTAATCCAAGTATATAATTTATTAAAATTATGGAGTTAATGAATACAGTTCATGGTTAAGAGTTTGATAAAATCATTGCTTTTTAATCACAACTTCTCCATCAAGTGGGAGCATTAATCAGCAACTAATACTGGCACCTGCAAAGGAAAGCTTTAGCGCTTCTGTAAATTCCTGGATTGAATCTGTAAGGACTCTGTGAGCCTCCTGACTCCTTTAGTCTTTCCTTGGTTCAGTTAGACGTCTCTTCTGGGTCAGGCCATCCAGCAAGTGCTTGGAGAAAACTGTAATGTAAATGGATATACTCAATTGGAGAAAAAAGATAAGGGACCCTTATTTTCTTCCATTCACACACAACTCCTGCTCACTCTGGAACTTTCAGCCTAGGCATCCCTGCTCCCACCTTCCCAGTCACCCTCTTCACCCCCCACAACCCAGATCCCCAAATGTGGGAGGTGCCTCCCGACGTGTGCCTGTAAAAGCCCATTTGTTTCCGTATGTGCACTCAGTAATGGTACTGACATTGTTTCCCCGTGTCTATGTCACCAGATGGTGATTCCATGTAGGCAGGATTCAGCTGTGTCCCTGGCCCTCTACCCAGTGCCTGATGTGGAGAATTCACAGAACATCCTCATTAGCCAGTGAATGGTTTTCAAAATATGAACCTTCTGCTATAAGTAAAGCAGACGTGTAGCAATCACTCACGGGCGAACTGGGAAATGGTAGTTACCCTGACACAAAGACTGACGGAAATATTCACGATGTACTAGTCACTGTGATGACAATTACCGTATGTTAACTCATTTAAACTCAAACACCTTCATTTCAGGACACATTCAGTTGTTAACTCCAACCTACAGATGAGGAAACGAAATCGTGAAAGATTCACGATTTGCCTCAGGTCACACTTCTGGGTAGACCTGCCAGGAAATGAATGAGTGAACCTGAATTCCATGAAGGCAGAGCCCACATGTCTCCCTTTCCCACTAATACTCCGGGCCTGGTGTGCAGAACAAGGTGAGTGAATTCACTTGGGTGCACCTGACGTGAGCTGCCTCTCCCACACCTTACAGCAGGAAGGCAGCGCCTAGCCCCTGGGCAGGTGGCTCCCTGACTCATTCCTCAGTTTCTCCCCCACCTCCCTCCCCATATTGGCTCAAGCCCCAGCCTGCCATCTTGAGCTTGAGGAGAGAAAGTAGTAGGCACCCATGTGAGAAGAAACCCAGTGTGTGAAAGAGGAAGTGATGAAAGCAATCCCAGGAAGGCTGCTCTGTGGGATGGGAATGGGATCCAGGCGCCCTCTGCAGGATCACGTGACTGCCAGAATTCCCTGGGGGCCTGCCCTGCACCAGACACTGTTCCTTTTAATCCTTACATCAACCCTCATCTTCAGCATGCCTCTCACTGCTGCTGCTGTTCCAAACCAATCTACTGGCAACGCTCCAAACACTCTTGGAGCAAACTGGCACCTGTTAGTCTCTTCAAGCAGCACCTGCTTCCACACCAACTCCACTTAACAAAATCTTGCCCAGTTTTTAAGAGCCACTTCAAACACTACCTCTCTGAAGACCTCCCCATTCAATTCTCAGAGCTTTTCTTCCCCACTTTCACACTCCCACAACTATCACCCACATGGACACATACTGTGTCCCAACTTTTTCTGCATTTGTGTAAGGTCTGCTGCTAGCTTGGGAGTTCCTCAGAGACAGCATCTAATGTCTCTTCATATTTCCTTTAGCTCCTGTGGACAGCAGGCATTTAATATTTGCAGAATAACACACAGCAGCAATCCTGTCCTTACTGCCACCACTGCAAGAGAAGGACAGGCAGCCCAGCCCAATGCCAGGTACAATCACAATCCTGAGAAAGCCACACTTTGCTTTTTTTTTTTGGCCAGGCCACACAGCTCTTGGGATCTTGGTTCCCTGACCAAGGAATGAAGCCAGGCCACAGTAGTAAAAGCCTGGGCCACTAGGCCACCATGAATTCCCAAGCCACACTTCTCTGTATTTCTTTCATCAGGCAAACAGGCCCATATGGCTTCAAAGTGCCCCAAAACAAAGCTCTGAAAGGTGATTCTTAACTATTAGTCACCCCAAAGGTAAACTGACTCCCTACAATTAGTCATTCCAACAGTAAACCGAGGTGAGGCCTGGAAAACTCACAATCTCTGACATTCCTTAGGGCTCCTTATGCTGGCCCTGATGTTGCCAGGAAGGAAGATGGAAAGGGAATTTGCGGCCTGTAAAGATCCTCAATTTTAACTCAAACTTTAAAAAATATCTAGCAATTGGCAGCTACTGCACAAGCTACAGCTGGAAATCTAGTTTTCCTATCATTTAATGTAGTCGTTCTTTAACACTTTCTCTACCACAATAAACCTAACTTAAGATACACTCTCCCCACCCTGCTCCCCACACACTCATTTAGGCATGCTAAAGTAGGGAACTGAGTCAGTACACTGGAGTAATTGTTGTCTTCATCCCTCCCTAATTTAGTCAGTCATAATAGCCAAGCAGCACCACTCTGTCTTGCTTTGGACGCCACTGCTTAGGCCCATCGATTTTATTTCTCAAGTCCATTCTCCTCCCACTGCCACCATCCTAGTCCAAGCCACCATCATCTCATGCCTCAACAATTACAGAAGCCCTGCTCACCCATATCCCTGCTTCCATCCTGGCACCACTCCAGGCAAGTTCCCACATGACAGCTGCAGTGATTTTGAAAACGGCATTGTGTCTTCCACTTTAAAATAACTAATGCCCTGTGTACAACTGTCTATTAGGTAATAAGCATGTAAAATCATACATGGAAAACCTCATTTTGCAAATGAGGAAATCCTAGGCCAAAAAGAATATTAAAACCTGGGTCAGACAGACAGAGCCAAGGTCAGAATTCAGAACTTGTAACTGTGCAGACAGTTCTCATTTTAATGAGCCACACTGCTTTCTCCCATGTATGTGGCTCATTCTGTAGTGTGCTAATGGAAGTTATATGTATTGAGGGCCTGCTTTCAGGGTCACAAAATTTTAGATTACCAGGAGACAAGAGGGGTGAGACCCGGCCTGAGCTGATGCTTTCAGGGTCACTCACAAGTAGATCCTTCTGTCTCAGGATCCACCTCCTCTAGTCAACTAGAGGACAGGGGCGGCATTCCAAATCCAGGACTATGTGATCCACGTGGGGAGCATAGGATTTCACTGGTTGGATGTGCAAGATTTGTGTCTTCCATGGTTTTCGATGCACCTGATGAAGAAGAGTGGCAATTCGAGTCTCTGCAGCTTCGGCCCACCTCTGCCACTCTGGCTTGGTGGCCACTGACAGTGTTTTCCTCCTAGAATCACTGGTAGCTCCATTTTTCAACTGGGTGCTGATAATCTGCTGAGGAGAAGGCCAATGCTCTTCCATCTCACTGCTTCCAGGAGGCTGGAGAGTCTTCCCTGGGAAAGACTCCACATTTTGGTGAATATGCAAAATGCCTCCAGCGTCCTGTTTTAGCACTCGGCAGGCAATGGGCCAGCCTTCTTCAGAGCTGGGAATCAGCCCCAGATTCACCCGGTCCGCAACGTTTGATAGCTTCAGTTTTCTGTTATCCCCAAAGTGTATTTGGCATCGATCAGCTACTCCGTTGAGGTCAAGGTTATTTCTCAGAGCAACTACCGCATGGGGATTCCACTCACAAGCATGGACGAAAGCAGCCTCGGCATGAACTAGGAAAGGCAAGGTAAAATAACCAATCCCCGCATAGAGATCCACCAGCACTTCTCCGGCGCAGGGCAGCGACGCCACACGAAGCTTCTCAGTGATGTTTCCGAAGGAGAACATGCACTGGGTCACGTCAAACGTATACCGAATCCCATTATCCACATGCTCTACCCAGCCGTGGTCGCCCAGCAGCATCCTCACTGCTGGAGTCCGAGTGCTATCCGGGGACACCCGCCCTCGTTTGGCCAAACGCTGGACGCCAAGTGCCGAGGCAACCGTCTCCCAGAGTTCCGGTTCCAGATGTCTCCATTGCTTGGCTTGGAAACAGTCTTCACTCAGCAACAAGAGGTCACCGTGTCGTTGCCAAGATCGGGGCAGGTCAGCCTCCAACTCGGTCGACCACGTCACTCCGTGGCCCTCTACCCAGCGACTCACCTCAAGACACAGCCTTTGGGCAGGTGAGTAACTCTGGGCCTTCTTTGAAGGAACAGGATCCAGGAGCTGCGTCAGCACACAGGTGCTGCCTGGAGCCACACGATTCCTCAGCTCCCGCAGATGCTGCTCAAGGAGGGCCTCTCTCAGAACCGGTAGCGCCACGGTGCCATCCCGCAGCTTTTTCACACGGTGTTGTCGATCCAGGAGTTTCTGCTTCTCGAGATATTTCCTGTATTGCTGGGTAAATCGAGGCTCAGTCACAACTGCAACAACAGCCGTGGGCTTCCCGCCTGCCCCTTCCATGTTGTTGTTGGCCCCACATTCTCTCCGACTTCCTCCACGAAACTCCCTCTGCTCTGCCTCTACACATCCACGCATAAAACAGGAAGAAAAGCGCGCACAACGCCGGCGGGGGCCGGAAGTGACGTCAAACAGACAGGCCGGAACTAAATTACATTATCTCCCTTGTTGACGAATGGCGTCGGGGTCGCCGTTGGGTGTGAAGTCGCCGCCGCCATCTTTGTTGTGGTCAACCACTACTTGCTCCAGCCTATGAGAAAATTAGTAACAAGAAGGATTTACAAACTTAGTCGACTTGAACTGTCGACTTATAAACTTCAAATTAGTTGGTATCCTCCGGAAGATTCAGTCACTCTCTTCCATGCTGTTTAGCGATCAAAAGAGAGATGTGAACCTGAAAAGATGCCCTATATTTGGAGAAAGCCTTCCCTTAGTCTCCTGCTGCACCGAAATCTCAGCCTGAGATGAAATTATTCTCAAGGCTAAACACACTCTAGGGACACCGGTCTCCTTTCGCTTTCTAAACCAGGCCAAACTTTTTCCTGTGCTTTTGCCTCTACACTTGCTGAAATGCCCTTCCCCAGAAGATGGAATGCCAGGAGATTTGTCTGAAGGTTATCTTCTTGTGAGGCCTTCATTAAACACTCAGAAGTGTCACTGTCTCCCTTCCGTTATATCTGTTTAACACAGTGATTCCTTCTTTAGCCCCTGATTTGCTATTTATTTGTTTACACTTAATAGCCTTTCTCCCTCAGACAATGACACTTAAGAGTTGCTCAGTCATGTCCAACTCTTTGTCATCTTTTTTTTCTTTTTTTAATCTGTTCCTTCTTTAGTCTCTTTTAAATCCATTTTAGCTGCACTGGGTCTTACTTGTGATCCACTGGATCTTCATTGTGGCATCCAGACTCTTAGTTGCAGCATGAATGCAGGATCTAGTTCCCTGACCAGGGATCACACTCAGGCCCCCTGCATTGGGAGTGTGGCTTCTTATCCACTGGACCACCAAGGAAGTCCCTCTTGTCACTGATTTCTAATTTCAGTCCACTGTGGTCAGAGAACATACTTTGGTATGATTTCAATCCTTTTAAATTTATCAGGGCTTGTTTTATGATTTAGTATATGGTTTATCCTGGAGAATGTTCCATGTGCTCTTGAAAAGAATATGTATTCTGTTGGTGGTGGTGGAGCTAATAGGCCTGTGTGTTAGCTGATCCATTTTTAAGTTCATGCTCAGATAAAGTAATTCTGTCGTCACTACAATTCACAAACATAGCCTCATTTCAGAAACCAGAATGCCTAGTATTGAGTATATCTAAATGCATGGCCTTCTTTTATTCCCTTGTATTCAACATACTCCCTCCCTTTGCTGAAGTTCACTTTCAGGTCTGCTCTCACTCTCTTCCTAAGCTGGTTATTCCCTGAGATTTCAGAAATAAATATCAGGATGTGCTGGACAAGCATCTCCTGCACAAATCACATCTTTATCAACGATAGTCATAGCCACACGCTCTTCTCTTATAGCCCTTCCCAATACTTTTTCATCTTTAAATTTGATTAACGGCTATCTTCCCCCAGAAGTGTATGTTTGAAGAGGCAAGAAACTTAATTTCCTCTCATTATCATATTCCTTACTGTATTTAAGAGGTCTCACCACACATAGTACTTCCTCGTAAAATATTTGTAGACTGAACATGAGTGAATGAGGAAAGAAGAAAAATCTGCAGGTGAAAATAGTTCATGGCCAGAAAGAATTTTAGCTCCAAAATATTGCCACTAGATGGCAGCAATAACCAGTACCAGAGCAGTTGAAGTGTCTGAATTCCTGGGTTTCAGATGGTTTGGATTTTCCCGACTTCTCAAGGAGCCTATGCTTTCCTATAGGCCTTTATTCATTAATCTCTATTAGACATCCCTTATTGACATGGTTAATCCAGACGTGTGAGTGTATTTGAAAGCAAGTAACACAAGCCCCCAAAACAGCAGCTCCACAGCAGGCGGGGAGGTGTATAAATTTCAAATGTAACAGCCCAGGGCGGGTGTAGCTGCTCAGCGAAATCCTCAGTTAACCAGGCTCCCTCTCAGCCTCAGTGAGATCCTTTCATCCTTGTGGTTTCAAGACAGGCACTACATTGCCAGGCTCTGTGAGCTCACCGGGGCAGGAAGGGTAGGGCAGAGCCAGAGGAAACAAGAAGTGTCTGCCGCGTGGACTTCTGCCTACCCCTCTGGGACTGCCATCCTCTGACAGCTGCGGAGGCTGGAAATGGGGTTGGTTTTAGTGTTTGATTATGGAATTAACCAAGAACGCAGAAGGGAGAGTGAGCAAAAGCCAGGCATTAAGTTGACATTCCTCTAAGGCACTAGGTGAAAAAGCCCCTGGAAACAACAAAGAGTTCTGAAGAGGAGTTTAGAAGAACGACAGGAAGGAGACCTAAGAGACAAGAATAGCATCTATGGAAAAAGTGTTCATAAAATGTACAGTTTACCTAAGAAAAGGCTGAGCTGACTCTTGTTTACCTTCACCTTCACCCAGCAAACTCCAGTGTGTTTCTGAAAGTTCCAACTCAGATTGACGATCGCCTTTTTCAGGAAGTCTTTCCAGGCTTCTCTCTCCTTCTCACATCTGGTTTTTCTTTTTTTGGAAGGACAGTGTAAAGCAAAAGATTTTAAATTGTTTTAAATAGGGGAACTGAGGAAAATAATAATTAACATTTAACAAGTGCTTACCATGTGCCAAGCACCGATGTCAATGTTTTTAATTAACCTTCCCAAGAACTCAATGAGGTGTGTACTCTTTTTATTTGTGTTTTAAAAAGAAGGATATTGAAATTATCACACAGAGAGGAAGTGGTGGAGCCAGGATTTGCATAAAGGTCAGCTGGCTCCTGAGTCTACATTTTCACTTGTGTGGGTCTTAGTTGTGGTACATGGGTTCTTTTAGTTGCTGCTAAAAGGCTGTAAGATCTAGTTCCCTGAGCAGGGATCAAACCTGAGCCCCCTGCATTGGGAGTGCAGAGTCTTAGCCACTGGACCACCAGGGAAGTCCCTGCATCTACATTTTTAACCACTCTCCCGATATTGCTTCCAAGAACAATTTGACCACACTGCTTTTCAGAAGGCTCCAAAATGATGCAGTACACTGCATGAGTATGCCAGATGGTCCCAGTGGGAGAGAAGGAGAAATACTAAACTTTTCAAATTTCAAATTTTTTTTATATCTCATATCTTTAATTTCTATATCTGCATGTATTTAATAAAGTACAAAATACATTAGTACTATAACTTTTCCAAAATTTGTAAATAAAATATGTAGATACAAAGTTTAGAGCTCTCAAGATTAGAGTTGCTGGCTTAAAAGCCTGGTGCCGGTGAACACTTAGTCTGAATGTACATGTGTTACCAGGTCTCTGCAGGGGTGTGTTCATGGGAAAACAGACTAGAGGGATTGCTTCAGTTCCTTTGTGTGGCTGTAGTGAGGGCTCTGTGAACATACTCCCTGCTTTCCTCCTGTGCAATGGATGCTTCTTACTCACCTGGCCAGTCCATCCACCTGTCGGCTTTAGGATGACCTATCACAGCCCAGGGAGAAGACTGAAGGGCAGTGCTATCCTGCATCTCCCCCTGCACCCTCCTCGCCTTGAAACTCAATTCAGGCATCACCTCCCCTACCTTCCCTAACACACTCCCTCCCTCCCTCAGCCACACCCTCATGTCTGGAGGGGCTCCTGCTTCTTCTAGGGGGCCCTTAAAGTTGCTGTTCATTTTTCACATGTGGCACATGCCACCGAGTACAGAGATCCACCTGGCCGGACAGTGACCCCTTCAAGAACAGGGGTCCACATTTTCTTTCTGTCCTGACTGTCAGCACAGTGCCTGGGCAAGATGGTGCATAGCAAATAACTTCATGGAGAAATGACTTTTCAGCGACTTCTCTGGCAACTCAGTGGGTCGTACTCTGCACTTCCACTGCAATGGGTACATGTTCGATCCCTAGTCAGGGAACTAAGGTCCTGCATGCCGTGCAGTATGGCCAAAATAATAAGAGAGAAATGACTATTTCAGAGTTGGCTGTTCTGCTTTAGATGAGCAGACGTGTAGCCACCTTGCCAGCTGAATTAAGGTGGGTACACAAGACTCACTCTAAGCAGAGCAGCAGCTAGTGAGCTTCCTTTTCTCAGAAGCAGATTTACTGTGACATTAATGAAGCTAAAAGCTCAGGTTCCTTCACTTGCACAGGCCCCTTCCAAAGGCCTTGCATGGGACCCTTCACCACTGTTTCATAAGGTCATGTGTTTGGGTAAAATTTGCACAAGTAGAGATGTCTTCACCACAAATGGTTAAGATCACTGTGTTACTCCATGCTACTTTCCTCCTGGCCTACTTCGCTTTTTGAAGAGTGACCTTCAAGTGGCTGCAGGCAGTCTGGGGACCGAGCAGGTTAAGAAGAGAATACATTTAATTGGGGGTTAGTGGGATACACTTATGTGCTGCAATCCATTTCTGTGTGTGGTTAAGTTCTAGCTAGCTGTTCAGGTTTGAGAAGTATACTCCTATGGCTGACTGCTGACTCATGGGCATCCTGACACAGAAATGCAGGCCAGCTGTCACATGATGACATGAATGTGTTCTCTGGTGCTGAGCGCTGGAAGGACACAGCAGCGCTGTGGAGGAGAAACCAGGTTTCAAAAGTAAGACATCAGTAACTAGAGTACAGAAAATTCTTTTAATCTTCAGATAGGTATAATTTTATTTTTTTATTTAAAAAATATTTATTTATTTGTGCCAGGTCTTAGTTGGGGCACACAGGATCTTCAGTTGTGGCATGTGGAACCTAGTTCCCTGACCAGGGCTAGAACCCAGGCCCCCTATATTGGGAGTGCAGAGTCTTAGCCACTGGACCACCAGGGAAGTCCCCAGATAGGTACAATTTTAAACAGAAGATTCAGTTCTTGATAATGTGTGGTTAAAACGGAAGTTGTCTTCTGCTAGGAATATATTCAACAATGTAGCACATATAATCATAAATATCCTAGACATTAAAAAAAAAAGTCTACAGTAGAGTATCTAATGAAAAATCACATTCAATACAAGTTTGACTAAGACACACTCTTCTAACTCACTAAAAGCACACAGCACTCATTAAACTGCTAGAATGGAAGAACAAGCACAAAAGCCAAAAATTGCTGGTCTATGTTCCAGCCTTCCTGTCTTAATCATGCCAAATTCACTCTCCAAACTCAGGAATCTCCCAGTTTTCAGGTTTACCTCTCATTTTGGCAGAACAGCATAAAGAAATATCCCACAAGAAGAAACTTGCTCTAGGACAGGAACATCGATCACTCTAAGTCAAGAGAAGGGAAGGAATGAAAGGGCAACCTGGTTATCAGACGTCAGCAGCACAGGTAGTGCATGCAGGAGGCAGGCAGAGACACACATCTGATAGTTAGGGCTCACCTTAGCCCTCCTCTGAAGAATCTCCTGTCATTCAACCCATTTGTCCTAAGAAGTCTAATAGAAAAAAAAAGTCTAATAGGTAATCTCTCTGACAATGTGATTGGATCCTTTATGAAGAAATTTTTAGGACTTCCCTGGTGGCCCAGTGGTTGAGAATCTGCCTTGTAATTCAGAGAACTCGGGTTCAATCCCTGGTCAGGGAACTAGGATCCCATATACCATGGGGCAGCTAAGCCCTTGGGCTGCAACTACAGAAGCCCATGTGCTGAAACTAGAGAGT